GTTGACCTCGACGACATCGATATCGTTGAGGGTGAGGCCGTACTGGTTGAGAAGCTTGGGGATGGCGATGGAGGGGCCGATACCCATGATACGAGGAGCCAGACCAGCAACGGTGGAGCCGACGTACTTGCCGAGAATGGGCTGGCCGAGCTTGACGGCGGTAGAGCGCTTCATGAGCAAGATAGCAGCGGCGCCATCGGTAACCTGGGAGGCGTTACCACCCGTGGTGGTGGGACCCCACTGGGGGAAGGCAACGCGGATCTTGGAGAGGCTCTCGGCAGTAGTGCCGGGGCGGATACCCTCATCCTTGGTGAGGGTGACGTCCTTCCACTCGCCATTGGCGTCCTTGACGCGGGTCTTGATGGGGACGATCTCGTCGTCGAAGAGGCCGGCCTTTTGGGCGCGCTCGGCACGCTGGAAGGACTCGGCGGCGTACTTGTCCATTTCCTCGCGGGTGATGCCGAAGTCACGGCTGACGTTCTCCGAGGTCCAGCCCATGGGCTGCATGCAGTCGGCCGACTCTTGGGACTGGGAGGTGACGGCCTCGTCGAAGGGCTGCTCGAGGGCGTCGCCGCCAACGCTCATGGACTCGGCGCCCATGGCGATACCGACCTCGATGGAGCCGCACGAGATGGCGTGGGCAATGTCGGCGACAGCCTTGAGGCCCGAGGAGCAGAAGCGGTTGAGCGAGTAGGCACCAGCGGTGTTGGGGAAGCCGGCAGCAAGGGCGGCGGCACGAAGCTTGTAGGCGGCCTTGCCATCGGAGACCTGCAATCACACAGCCATTAGCCTCTGCCTGTGACAGTCAGTGACAAACAATGTTGCGTACATTACCCATGGCAATATCCTCGACAAGCGCGGGATCCATATTGCAGCGCTCTTTGACCTCCTTAAGGGTGGCATAGGCGAGATACTCGAGCGAGGTGTCCTTGAAGCCGCCCTTCTTGGCCTTGGTGAGAGGGGTGCGGATGGCGAGGGTGATGACAATGTCGTCGGGGTTCTTGGCCGTGATGTTGCTCAGAGCGGTACCTGGGGTCAGGTGCTTGAGGATGGAACCGAGACGTTCGACGGCCATTGTGACTGTTGTTGTTGTTGTGGTGGTGGTGGTGGTGGTGTTTGTTGTTTGTTTTGGTGGTGATGGGATTAGTTGGTTGGGAGACGAGTGAGGTTAGCCGGCGACGGGAGTTGGAATCGACAACGGCAAGGAGACGACAGACGGTGACAGAGACGGAGACGCGGCTGTTGTCGTGGTTAAAAGGGATGGGCCATGATGGGCTGGCGGAAGTTGTGGCGGCATCTTCCACTTCGTTGATGGAACAATCCTCCAATGCGACTGGAACGGAAGAGTGGGGTTGAGTTTGCCGAGGCACAGCGGGAAGTGGAAGTGGAAGTCGGGTGTGTGGTCTGTTGTCGACGGATGGATGTCAGTCAGGGTTGAGTTGGTGTTTTAGATTCATTGTTACTGGCTGTTAGTGGAACATTGGGGTAAAGAGATCCTGTCGTGGGTTCGTTGCCGCTGGAGACATCAAAAATGTCCGGGGCGAACCGATTTCCCCGCATAGGTTTGACGGGGATTTCCCAGACTGCCACATCAGTCCTTAACAGCTGCCTCTCAAGACGCACTGACCATCGTTCAACTGATGGTCGGGCACTGCAACGGCCGGGCGGCCCGCGGGCAAACATGCAACCCCACCGCTCGGCAGTTCATCCTAGTATTTCCGCTGGAGTTCATTCAACACCACCATCATGACCTCTTCTGAGGCACTACGTACCTTACACGGAGTCAGATCCAACAAACATCACTTCAACGACAAAACCTCCTGACCATTACAGAACCGCGACTCAAGACAGTCTCGAGATATCTATCTGACATCATGGTCATCAAGTGGCTCACCGTGGCTCACCGTGGCTGGCCGACATGGTCTGGCTGGGGCTGACAACGAACGAATACCTTAGCCGGATTCACTTCTCGTTTCCATCTTCTTCCTCTTTTCTTTTCTTTTCTTCTTGGCGTCATGGGGCTTTTACTACTGTACCTGAAGATGGCGTCTCTGGCTCCTCCATCGATGGCTGCTTATCTTTAGCCGCACTCCCGTCTCAGCTCGCTTGCCGTCAGCCCGCAGACGCCATCGAATTTCCACATCGGGACGGAAATGTTTCTCTGGGCGCTGTCGACGCGCCTGACTGGGCGGTTGCAAAGTGGCAAATACGAGGCTCGGCGACCGTCATGAAGGAAGAAAAAATAAAAATCTTTGAGGGCCCTCTTCCTACTTGCTGAGCTGATGGCATTTAGACTTCCAGATCCCAGCTTGCTTCCACCTTCAGGTCCCACGACATTCAGCGAGAACAAGGCTGGCTGCCGTCGATACGACCTTCGTAAAGCTGGTCCAAGTAACTATCCGTCGTCGCGTCTGTCGAGTCGTCAGCAACAAACCGCTGATTGCGAACAAGTTCAATTCCAATAACTTCGACTTCAATTCCAAAAGCAAACGCCTTCGATCCCATCCCATCCCATCCCATCCTCACCACACCCGCGCCCTCGACATGTTTACCCGAGCCATTGCGGCCGCTGCCAGCCTCTTGGTCGCATCCGCTTCCGCCAACTCCAAGCGTGGCCTGGTCTTCACTCCTAACTCGACCTTCCCGGACGACGCCTACATTTGGACTGCCCCTCCCACCGACTTGACATGGTACTATAACTACAAACCGCTGCCTTCCCAAATCTACTCGAACGTGTCCCAATCAGACTTTGAGTTTGTCCCCATGCTCTGGGGCGCTCCCTCCGACATCAGTGACAAGTCCTTCTACAATACCATCAAGACCTTGATCGACGAGCGCGGTGTCAATGTCACCCACATCCTAACGTTCAACGAGCCTGATGGACCCGGGCAGTATGGCGGTAGCGACATTGACCCCGAGGTGGCCGCCCAGGTGTGGGTGAACAACATTGTGCCGTTGCAGGAGGATTACAAGGCGCTAAGAGTAGGGCTGCCGGCTTGTACGGGTGCTCCCGCGGGCATGGAGTGGTCCAAGAAATTTCTAGAGGCTTGTTCTGGTCTGATCAGTGAGGGTGAAAAGACCAAGAACTGCACCTTCGACTTTGTCCCCATCCACTGGTATGGCAATTTTGAGGGGCTGGCTAGTCATATGGGAGAATATTCTGCTGCGTAGGTCACCTCCTTTCTCCCGCCTCTTCATTTCTACCTCTCCGCGAGCACAGGCTGACCTCCGAACTGCACAGCTTTCCCAACAAGTCCATGTGGGTCACAGAGTACAATCTCGCCAATGCCAACCTACAAGAGACCCAAGCCTTCTACACAACGTCAGCAGAATACTTGGACCGGCTGGACTTTGTCGAAAGATACTCCCTATTTGGCGCTTTCCGCTCCGATGTGTCCAATATTGGCCCTAATGCTGCCATGTTGAACCGTGATGGCGAGTTGACAGACATTGGGGCTTGGTATCTTGGGAGACAGGCCACCGGTGTCGATCCGAACAGTGGTAAGGGTGGTAAGGATTCGGGTGCGGTGAGGATGCCGACTCCCCGCCTTGTGACTTTGCTACTTGTCTCCTTGCTTGGTTTGGTGAACTTTGCGTAATGACTGATCGACGAACGCAAGATAGACAGAGCGTTGATTCTTCCTAGAGATATGTATTTTTTTTTTGGTGGTTGGGCTTCGTTAGTTCTTTTCTTCGAAATCCATGCCTTAGATAGAGCTGCTCTTGGGCTTTAGCTGGCGAGCGTAGATGCCTCCTTGGCTATGAAAATTGTCTATACCTTTACTTACCTCCATGTTTACTCTCCCGCATGGATCACACCGAATGTGTGGCATTATGGCAATGACACTTTCACGACCTCTTTCTCAGACCTCGAGCCGTTATCCCCCCCCCCCCCCCCCCCCCCCCTCCCCCCCTGTCCGATATCCACGCGGCCGAGGATGCTCATTCATGCCCAGCCATCCCCAGGAAAGGGTTACAATGCTGATCTGACTAGGGGTTCCCCCGTCAGTGACACCGGACGTCTCGTCTTGGCCAGCGTCCCTACCAATTGCACGTGTATCCCCCGACCTCACCTCTCAGCTCTCTCACTTTATTTACAGATCGCCAGAGCTCTACATTCAGCATTCGATCGCCACGTCGTTCTTCAACCCTTATCTTCAGGGGCCGAGAGGGGCAGAGGGGTTCAAGGGGCTCAACAATCCCCACCTCAACCTTATGCACGCCCGTTGCAATCCCTGTTTTTTTTGAAGAACCCAAGCGAACCATCCAATAAATGGCGTTTTAAAATAGGCCGTTGTGCCCACCGGACCCGCTTGATATTCATTAGTTCCGCGTGCGGAACCATGCGGCCGCCTCCAAAGCTCTTCAAGACGACAGGAATGGCCAGTCCGAGGTTCATCGGCTTCTCAAGCTTGCGGTATGCTAATTTTGTTGGAAACTGTCACCGCTTTCTCCCACGTTCCACTTACCATGTGCGCATGTCACCGCTTAGCGTTCACCGTTACAAACCCTTGCGCCGCTAGCACAACAGTTTGACAACACCGCCCGCAGAATCACGATTCCCCCGCTCAACAGTGGCAACCGTTGAGCCAGGCACCGTAATGGGAAAACGTGTCCTGGACTGGATGTAAGGATGTCCCCCGTGGGGCGGCAAGCTTGGGTGGTGATATACATATAAAAGGACAAGAAAGGGACCCTGATATTCTGACTTTTGGATGCTCTACCATCTTCTCACTCATCTTTCTCCCATCCATCCTCATCTCAGTTTCCCAAGAGACACCATCACCACATTCAATATGGCTTCTACCACAGACTACAAGATTGACTTTACCGTATGTCCTCTCTCTCCCCCCCTTCACTGCCTTCTTCCGCGTCTCGTGGGCTGCTCCTGCCGTCTTCATCCCACACCTGAGCCACCTTGTACTAACGCATCTCCAGAACTTCTACAACATCATCAACAATGAGTTGAAGTCAACCCCCACCACCCGGGCCGCCGTCAACCCCTCCACCTTGGCCCCCCTTCCTGCCGTGCCCGTCTCCACCAAGGCCGATGTCGACGCCGCTGTCTCGGCCGCCAAGGCTGCCTTCCCCTCGTGGCGTGACACGCCCATTGAGAAGCGTGCCGCCCTCCTCAACACCTTTGCCGATGCCATCATGGCCAACTTTATGGACTTTGCCTCTCTGCTTGCGCTTGAGGGCAAGCCCCCGACGGCGGCGCAGTTCGAGGTTGACTTTGCTGTCAAGCACTTGAAGGGGACGGCGCAGCTGAGGTTGGACGACGAGGTGATTGAGGATAACGAGGAGAAGCTAACCAAGATTCGGTACACTCCCCTTGGTGTCGGCGTCGGCATCGTCCCCTTCAACTACCCCTTCTTCCTGGGTATCGGCAAGATGGGGCCCGCCGTGTTGGCTGGAAACGCCTTCATCTGGAAGCCTTCGCCCTATACGCCCAACACGGCGCTGAAGCTCGTTGAGCTGGCCGCCAAGATCTTCCCCCCTGGTGTTGTTCAGGCTTTGTCTGGCGAGGAGGACTTGGGTCCCTGGTTGACTGCTCACCCCGATATCCGCAAGATCTCCTTCACCGGCAGCACGCCGACGGGCAAGAAGGTCATGGCTGCCTGCGCCAGCACTCTCAAGCGCGTGACACTCGAGCTGGGCGGCAACGACGCGGCCATTGTTTGCGACGATGTCAACCTGGACGAGGTCGTGCCCAAGGTTGCTCTCGGCTGCTTCAACAACGCTGGCCAAGTCTGCGTTGACATCAAGAGACTATTCGTTCACGAGAAGATCTACGATCAGTTCCTGGCCAAGATGGTCGAGGTCGTCAAGACGTTCAAGTTCGGCGGGTCCGAAGACACCGATGGCGCCTTCTTCCCTCCTGTCCAGAACGCGATGCAGTTCGAGAAGGTCAAGGAACTATTTACCTCGATTGAGAAGGAGGGCCTGAAGCCTGTTATTGGTGGCGAGGTCGAGGCCGAGGCGGGCGCGAAGAAGGGATACTACTTCAAGCCTACCATCATCGACAACCCGCCTGAGAACTCCAGGATTGTGCAGGAGGAGCCGTTTGGCCCTATTGTGCCCGTCGTGAAGTGGGTCGGTGGTGAGGACGAGGTGGTCAGGATGGCCAACAACACCGATATGGGATTGGGTGCCTCTGTCTGGAGCAAGGACTTGGAGAAGGCGGAGAGGATCGCCAGGAGGCTGGAGGCTGGCAGTCTCTGGATCAACACCCACCAGGACCTGGCGCCCAACGTGCCCTTTGGTGGCTTCAAGCAGTCCGGTATGGGCCACGACTGGGGTCTCATCGGTCTCAAGGGCTGGTGCAACACCCAGAGCTTGATGACGAGGAGGTCAGGCGGTATGTTCTAAGGAGGGAGCGATAGAATGCATTTATTAGAATAGTGAATTTACAGCAAAGCGCGTGATTTTTCATAGAGTGCCTTAAGAGACATGATCCGGACCCAGTCGTGCTGGACAGGTGTAAACTTCAGGTACATGTAGAAGTTGGCAGTAGGAGATGGTTAACTCACGGCTCCCAAATCCCGCAACACGGGGAGCCCTCCGCTTGGTCAATACCTATCCCGGATTCCCGGGAACTGACATGAAGCTCGAGGTGGGTGACGGCTCGGTAATAAGTCATCATCACTTTGAAGTCATTCATGTAGAGGTACTTATCCAATGGGGTTGACGGTGGTTGCTGCTTGAGCTAGCAACCTGAAGGAGTGATCAGTGAGTGAGCATTGTGCGTGATTTATGTTCCAAATATCAAGAGGATTCGAATGGTGGACATGACGATATTCGGCAGTGTTTGGAAGTACGTCGGTACGTGTAGGTACCTCTAGGTTCTTTTCTAGATGACGCGTACCTGATCTTCAGAAGGAGGCTTTCCCTATGAGGTAAGACAGAGCCATGACTGAGACGCGGCAGTTCAATTGATCTAGATGTGCCGAGTTCTGAAATGCAAGGGGAGATGCAGTGGTCAGTGTGACAGTCAAGTCAGGATCTACACGAATTCGTCTTCGGGAATGAACGTTGAAAAGATGTGGTCCGTGTGCTCACCTAATGCAGTGGTCCACACAGGCTTCACGGAGCTGGACACGCGGCATTTGGTTGGTTGGAAATCTTCTTGGCGGTGAGCGTGAGAAGTCGACCTAGAACTGGAACTGCAGGGCGCTCGAACCACTGGAACTGGGCATCTTCCTACACTCATCCAGAACTATTCCCGGGGACCGTCCATTTCCGAAGACACCATCACCCATCACGCCCTCACAGCAGGAGTAGTCCTGGACATGGTGTGGGCCATTGCCAGGTCCTTTAGTTGCGGAAGGATAACACGTGAGTTGGTTGAGCTTGCCAATTGGTTTTCAAAAACTATATCCACGACATCACTCTCCCCGTCGGGTCAACTCTCCCAATTTCCTGCAACAAAAAAAAAAAAAAAAAAAAAAAAAAAAAACGCTCCCCGGACCTGCATTAGGCGGTTGCCTAAAGTTCGCCATGTCTGTTGACTAATGCCGCCTTTGACAGCTAGGGTCGTATCTCTCGGCTAGGTGGTAGAGGTAGACAGGAAGCTAAACTCCACCATTCTCACTCAACCAATATGGCTCGTCTCCAAGACCACATGCGAGCCATCGTCCGCCTTTCGGTAGATGCATCCAGTCGGACCGACGCACGTGTTGTGGACTACCGATTCAAAATAGTCGAGAATGTCGAGAACGTCGACGCGTATAAAAGCAGTGACATCACCTCCGGATAGGGACATGGAGAGCACCTAGGAATCCAACAACGAACCATTCTTTCTACGTCGTCTTCTACAACAATGAGGTTCAGCGACCTACTCGTGGCTGCGGCCACGGCGAACGCCTACACCATGAACTCCCAGGTCCGTCTTGCCTACCACGGCGATAACGGCATGATGGTCAGCTGGAACACCTTCGATGTCGTCAAGAACCCTTCTGTCCAGTGGGGCCTCTCGCGGGACCGTCTGGACAAGATTGCGACGTCCGACGTCTCCGTCACGTATCCCACTTCGCAGACCTACAACAACCACGTGCTGATCAGCGGCCTCCGCCCCGATACGACTTACTTCTACAAGCCGTTGCAGCTCATGAACAGCACGACCGACGTCTTCAACTTTACGACGAGCCGTGAGGCTGGTGACAACACCCCCTTCTCGGTCGCCGTCGTCGTCGACCTCGGTACCATGGGTAGCAAGGGCCTGACCACATCTGCGGGCACTGGCGTGGCGAGCACCAACATTCTTCAGCCAGGAGAGAAGAACACCATCGACTCGCTGGAAGCCAACATCGACAACTTCGACTTCCTCTGGCATGCCGGCGACATTGCCTACGCCGACTACTGGCTCAAGGAAGAGATCCATGGATTCCTACCCAACACAACCATTCAGGGAGGCGCCGCCGTGTACGAGTCCATCCTGAACGAGTTCTACGACGAAATGATGCCCATCACCGCCCGCAAGCCCTACATGGTGGGCCCCGGCAATCACGAGGCCAACTGTGACAATGCTGGCACCACGGACAAGGTGCACAACATCACGTACGACAGCAGTATCTGCATGATGGGCCAGACCAACTTCACCGGCTTCAAGAACCACTTCCGCATGCCTAGCGACGTCTCCGGCGGCACCGGTAACTTCTGGTACAGTTTCGACCACGGCATGGTGCACTTCATCCAGCTCGATACCGAGACCGACCTGGGCCATGGTTTCATCGGCCCCGACCAGACTGGCGGATCTGAGGGTTTCACCGGTGTTGACCCGGTCAATGCGACCATGAACGCGCAGTCTAACTGGCTGGAAGCCGATCTGGCGGCCGTTGACCGCTCCAAGACTCCGTGGGTCGTTGTGGCCGGCCACCGCGCCTTTTATCTCAGCAACACCGGTGATACCTGCCCGACGTGCAAGGACGTCTTCGAGCCGTTGCTGCTCAAGTACAACGTTGACCTGGTGCTGTCGGGCCATTCGCACATCTACGAGCGCCTCGCACCAATCGCCGACGGCAAGATTGACCCCAACGAGCTGGAGAATCCCTCCTCCCCCTGGTACATCACCAACGGTGCCGCTGGCCACTACGACGGCCTCGACTCCCTCGATAGCCCCCGCCAGCCCTACAGCCGCTTCGGCCTTGACACGTCCAACGCCACCTACGGCTGGAGCCGCCTGACCTTCCACAACTGCACTCACTTGACTCACGACTTTGTCGCCAGCAACAACGACACCGTCCTTGACTCCGCCACTCTGTTCAAGGCCCGTACTTGCGACCAAGATCGCAGGCGCCACTGAGTCCGTCACTCCTGTCACTGCTAGTGACTGCGAAAAGACCTCAACCACTCTGGCTGGTCGCTGCCTTGAAAGTTCTGTGAAGCTCGGGATGTGGCACTCTGTAGTAGGTACGAGAGGAGCAGGACCCGCACGCAAGAGGGTCAACCCTTTGTATGAGTGTCTTGGAAACGTGGATACGTGTAATATGAGTCCAATAGATGAAAATCCTTCAAGTTAATGCACTTTTACTTTACCTCTCGCAGTCGACTTACGTGATGTTCGTGGCCGACGATTTTGTCCTCAGTCACCTCCAACACCTTCTGATTCACAACGGGCGAAAGCTGCCGCGTGCGTGCAGTGGTCTTCTCGTCATGGTACTAAGCATTGTCATGGAGACGAGCCACTAGGTCTTAGCGCGACTAACATCAAACGATTTCAGCGGTTTCGAGTGCAAGAAACCAACACCGTTTGTGATATCAATCCATGTTGATGGCCATTCTGGCCCGGACAACGATGGAGATCCTGAGTCCGTCGACGTACCCGGCTTCATGCCTGCCGCCCGCGATGATGTTGGCCGTTCTTGTGGTGCACGTGCCTTGTCCGTAGACCGTACTGGACGAAGATGTTCGTCACGTCGGCTCCCCGCCTCCCAAGGAGCATATACTCTCCATCAAGACAGAAGTCATCTTGACGATCCTCCTTCTGTGCACTCTGTGAGTTTCCTCGTCAATCACCCATATCGTCTTGTCGTCTGCCATTCTGCCAATCTCGCAACCTACCTCCAGGTATGTGTGTTACCCTCCTTGAGCCCCTCAGACTGAGGGCCTCTTGCAGGCCAAGCCGAGCCCGTGCATCAGGCTCGTACGGTATCTCGACCGGCAATGATATTGTTGGCTGTTTTGTTCGTCCTTGTGACGTATGAGTACTTTGACAGCACGCTGAAGGGCTCGCCACTGAGGCACGAGAGTCTGATCGAAGCTCTCCGCATGTGTTGCCTTGGAGGACCTTGCTTCTTAGAACAATCGTTTCCATAGGCAGGTATCGCGTTAGCTCCAAGATCTTGTATATGAGTTGCTTTACTATAATGATGTGGTTCTGTCGACCTACAACATATACCAACAATGGCAGAAAGGCAAGATACCTAGTTGTTGTGGGACGATAAGATTATGGATTGGTTGCGAAGGACCCCGGCAAGTCCACTCAGTGTTCTGAGATGCCCAGTTTGGCGATGAGTGTTCGGGCAAGTCAATTTCGTCCATTGTTTGCGCAGCACACCATCTTGATGTATTTGACTGGATGGGAGCGGGAGGCCCAGCCAGCTGAATACAAACATGTAGCCAACCGCCCAAGTGCAAACTTCCTCAGCCAACCAAGCACGGTCAAATCCCTCTATGCTGAAAGCATCTTCCAATACATGAGCAAATTGATCATATCAACTCAAACCATGCACACGTCATCTGAGATGGTGAGGGGTAGGTAGTGACGTGAACATTCGCTTGGTTGAGCCAAACATGAATGCATTCTCAATCCGCAGTTAGATTATGACTCTCGTCTCGTGTATATAAACCCTACCCTAGGCATCGAATGAGTTCACTTCTCTCACTCTCATCCTCTTTTTCTTCTTCTTCAGTCAACGAGTTCACTACTACTCTTGTAACTTCCACTCAGTCCACTTTGACACCTTCAAACAACACACGAGCATCATCTTTCCAACCTCAGCTGCTTGATATACAGCTCCATCGACCAAAATGCCCAAAAGCGAGATGACAAAGTCCGATTCTTCGCGAATCCAGTCTTCACAGGTCAGTCATATACACCAATAATGTTCAATAATTTCCAGTCAAGTCTAACAAAATGGTAACAGGCCAAGGGCGGCGGTGATATGAGCTCTGGGGGCTTCGCAGCTCGTGCCCAGTCGGCCGGAGACAGATGGTCTTCTTCGCAGACATCCGGAGGCTCGGGTTTCTCTAGCGGCACCTCGGGTTCCAACCAGTCCAGCACTGGATCTGGTGCCTCTTCGGGAGCCAAGAAGTAAAGTCAACTATGAGGTTCTAGGCGGACTTGGACTCGACCATTAAGTTAGGGTAGGAACGAAGGCACAGTGTCCAAGCTTTGTCCAAATGAGTTGAGATGGAATAGGTTAGGGACACCTGTCCATTGGGCAGGAGCGTACCTGGGCGTACTGGGTCATCTATGTATTTAGTTAGACCCGGGATATGCAGATCATTGTTCACAGATGTTAAACTGGAGTTTGAAGCAGATGAAGGCTCGCTTATCTATCTACTAACGTCATGTTCCGTTTGAATTAATTCCATGCCTCAATGACTTGGCACAACACCATCTCAAGAGTAGGTAACCATGCTATCAAGTACTCACACGGGATCGAGCAGTAGGAAAAGTCCAGCACTTCTATCTAATAAACCGATTGCTCTTGCATAGGCCGGTCACTCCTACGTCTTAGCGAAGCAGTCCTGGGTGAAGGTGTTTTGGTCCCCCTTATTCGAGTGCAAGGGTTAGGACTACCAATAGCAGTACCAAACAAGCTGAAGGTGAGCTTCGACGAGCACCACCCACCATTGCATTGCTTCCTTCTTTTTCAGTGTTTCTTTGGCGTACCTTCCATTTGTGTGGTCAGTGAAAGAAACGGAAGCTGTAACGCGGATGCTGACGCGTATCAATCACCTCAAGCAGTTGAAGACTTGTGTCGAGCTCGGTAAGCGGTTACCTTGGTGAATAAATGGGACCTTCTTGAAAAGTTGAATGATGGCCCCATTGTATCAACCACACGTACGTGCCACAATGATCATCGAATACCTCTAAGTTGGAACGCCTCTTTTCATCTACCAACATCACGTTTGCAACAGATGCGGACGAGCAGACTTCAAGGTCTGGGACCAACGATCCGGCTCACAACTCCCAGAAAAACCAAGTACAGGCCTCATTGCTGGCTGTGCAGTTGCTGAATGTGTCATTTTGCTGGCTATGTGCGGACGTTCGTTTGCCTACAAGAGGCGAGGTCAAAGAAGTGACTACTTTCTTAAGAAGCCTGAGTGGCCAGTCAAAAGCGGAAGAGTCACACGAGCTGCCAATCCAGGCGCCTCCATTTGAAGCCTACCTCTATGTCCCGCCCACTGGAATCGCAAACGGACACCATTACTTCGAACTAGATGCTTCGGAAGGTGAAGATAGTGAACACAGTATTGCTGTGGGAGCAAGAACGCCTGGTCGTTGAGCAGAGTTGAGTGCTTTGGGCTTGAGATCCTGGGTCGTCGGAATCTGGGAGCTTGGAAAGGGCTGGGTCGACCATTGTGCGTTTCGTGCCCTCGCTTACCAATCTATAACTAGACGTGCTTTGTTAGCGATACTTCAAGCTCGGCGTTATGATGTTATCTCCACCAATGCCTTCCTCACCAAACCTTTCATCGCGACGTTACTGTCTGGTCCTAATCATGAGATACCCTTGTCCATGTCACCGCAAAGATCAGCTTTTCCTTGTGTGATACCACCATCCCATTCCCATCCTTCAACCTCAAGCTCACGTTCTGTCGCCGTATCGCTCCTCACCATGCAATCCCTTGTTCTCACTGGTCTCCTCACGTCGTACCCAACCGCCAACGTCGCACTTAGTGCTTACCCAAGCTCCCCAAGGATCCCAAGTTCTCGTCCTTGCCACTTGCCCGCTAGGTGATGTGAAAGATAGTACGGACATTCTTTGGATATGTAAGTTCTGATGTGAGTGTGACCGGACAATTTAACACACCACCTCCCTGCCTGCCGATTGCCGAAGCTGCTGCTTAGGGCTTACTCCCCCAACCCCGGCCGACTCGCTCACACTAGAGATCAGCAGCTTACTACGAGCTGATTGGTCCAGCTGGCGCCAACGTTGCACAGCTTCAGCTCCATCAAAGGTCCGTTTGATGGCATCGCCAACCTTGGCGCAGCATTTGGGGGCCCTTTTTGGCTGCTTTAATAGCAATCCAGACCGGAGTAGGAAGCCTTCTGGTCGAGAGAGCTTGGAAGAACCGTGCAGACCAGACGGGTGCAAACATTGCCGATTGACATGTTGTAAGAATGGTAAGGTAACGGTGGCTGGAGATGTGGATGTACGGTAAAGATGCTACCTAACCCAGGGTCGAAAATGACCCCCTGGTTGATAATGGTCATATCGAACCATGTGCCCTCTTTTAGTTCGCTGGTGGATGGCAGAAAGCGGACAGGGAACAAGAATGTCTCCACCATCTGCCACTTCCTCTTGGTTTTCAACTTCTCTTTTTCCTCTGAACTTTCTCTCCTGGGTTCATCCTGGGTGACGGACCTTTGTCGTGAACCGTTCCACGGTCAATAGTTCACGATACGTGTGAGAGCCGCGTCCGACGTCACCATGATGTTTCTGTCAACGGTCCTCCCGCTGCGGCAGACATTGACACTTTTGTCCCTTGTTGCTTCACTTCAATGGCCCCTTCCTGTCAATGGGCAAAACGCCGATACGCCTTCCGATTCGAACTTCATTCGGCGTGGTTATGAGCGTGGTAAGTTTCCCCTTCGTGATACCGCTTCCTCCTCCAGCTCCCTCCCTTTCCAGGCATTTCTTCATTTCATTCCCTTCTCTCACAACTAACGAGGTACCTACCTCTTTTCCCATTAACAGCAGCGGTCATCGGCTCCCACCTCTACCTCTCCGGCGGCGAAATCTCCCAATATGGAACTGGCGAGAACGCCCTTCCGCCCGACGACCACCCTGCCACTGGCATCTCCTCCGTCTTATCAATTGACCTCTCCACCTCGTGGGACACCCGCAATGCCCCCTTTCAATCCCATACCTTTCCCGATGGCGACCGACCTCCTGTTTTTAACAACCACGCTCTCTGGCCCTGGAAATCTTCAGATGGTAAAGATCAAGGGTTTTACATCTACGGTGGCCAAGTATCGTGGAAAGAAACGGTTAAGGATGTGAGGAAGGACCGCGGAATTTGGAAGTTTACTGTCGATGGGCAAGGCGGGGGAGCGTGGACGGTTGAACAGGCCAGTAATCCGGAGGTTTTGCGAGGGTTGAATCTGACGGCGAGTATGGCTTATGCGGCGGGAGGTGGGAGGGGGTGGTCGATCGGGGGAATCATGACGCCTGGCACCGATCCGGATGCGAACATCACGTCAGGCCCGGGACTGAGGATTCCGGGAATGGTGGAGTATGACTTTGCGACGGAAACGTGGACCAATTATACCGAGGTCGGGTTTCTCCCGAAAGGTCGGGCGTTGGAGGATGGAAGGGCGCACTTCGTTGATGGACTTGGGGAGGACGGGAAAAACGGAGTGGTCATGATGTTTGGAGGAGGGATCTTCATCCTGGACGTGACGCGAAAGGGCGACTCGCGGGGGATCACCCGCCCGGATCTCCTCCTTGACTTCAACAACATGACCTTCTTTGACGCACAAACGAAGAAGTGGTACTCGCAGACAACAACAGGCACACCGCCAACTTCCAGAATGGGCCATTGCGTCGCGGGCGTTCGAAGCCAAGCCGGTACCCACGAGATGTTCGTTTCTCTTCCTGTTCACAAGGCTTTTGCTGAATCCAACAGTGCTGACATCTAACCAACAGCTTCGTCTACGGCGGCGCTGATGCAGGGTTCACCGAGTCCTACGATGACCTATACGTTCTTTCCCTTCCAGGATTTGTTTGGTTCCGTGTCGACGACCGTTCAAACGGCGTTCATTCTCACGGAACTTGCGCTGTGGTAGGCAACCGTCAACTGTTGGTGATAGGTGGGCAGAACGAGAAGGATGGATGGCCGGCAATCTGGCAAAGTAAGGATCCGTTACCGCTCGGACTGGGTGTCTTCGATATGACAACCATGACTTGGAAAAACAATGGAAGCTATGATGCGGAGGCTGCCGAGTACAGACCGGCCGAAGTGATTGAGAAGTGGTACAAAGATGGGTGAGTGATCTTTTCGTTTCGGGTCGGTATAAATGCCATGCTGATCGGTTTCAGGGGTCTTGACAAAGTCCAGTGGGACTCGGATGATGTAAAGAAGATGTTCCTGGCGACGCCTGTGAACTTTACGAATTTGGATAAGCCAAGTTCATCAGACAAACCATCATCCGGCGGCGGCGGCAGTGGTTCCTCGGATGGTGACACTGATAAAAGCAAGGGCGAGTCCAGCAAGTCGAAGACCGGACCTATCGTAGGGGGTATCGTGGGGGGTTGCGTCGTCGTGCTGGGAGTCATCGGTGGTTGGTTGTTTTGGAGAAGGAGGAACAAGAAAAAGAACTCCGCAGGAGCGTTATCATCGGCTGAACTTCCCGTCCAAGAGCCGTCACTCCCACCACCACCACCACAAGGCTTCTATGAACCCTACGGACATCAGAAGGAGCTTCCGGTCCATTCGGCAGCAACAGAGGTATACACCCCGCCCACCGAACTCTCAAGTCACGCTTATCGGTGGGAACTGGACCCCGACGCGAGACCAAACGAGTTGCATGGGGATGCAGGACCGAGGGCACAAGAACTTCCATGGGAGGGAAGGCCACAAGATCTGAGCGCATACAGATGATAGACGTAGACCTCGAGTTCGGGGTGTACATAGACCGAACGAAGGATCAAGAAAGCACATACACTACTTACCCACTTCCCGAGTTCCGATCCTGGACGGGAGTGCCTGGGAATCCCCGCACGGTGCATCCCGCAATGTCACATCTTGGCAGCGTCGTCGATCGCGCAGTGCGTCCGTTGGTGTGACAGCTCAGTCCGGCTAAATTGCCCCGCGGTCTGCGTTTTACCCGGACTTCTTCCATCCTTCCACCCCACCTGGGGGGTCTTGGAGAGGTGACATCAACCGAAGGGCATGACAAATATGAGCGTATAAGAAGACACCCGTCCCCTTCTGCAAGCTCTGGGTAAGCTCTTCAAAGTTACAGCCTGGTGACCATCTTCGACTGTCGACAATCAGCAGCAACTTGAACATCGCCCACAATGCCCCTTGTCAAAAACCCCATCCTCCCCGGCTTCAATCCAGACCCCTCCGTCCTCCGTGTCGGACAGGATTACTACATTGCCACCTCAACCTTTGAATGGTACCCAGGTATACAAATCCACCACTCGACGGATCTCGCCAACTGGACGCTCCTCACGCGCCCGCTCAACCGCAAGTCCCAACTTGACATGCGTGGCGACCCGGACTCGTGCGGTGTCTGGGCCCCCTGCCTTTCACATGACGGCGACAAGTTCTGGCTTGTGTACACAGACGTCAAGAGGAAGGATGGCAGCTTCAAAGACGCACACAACTATATCGTCTGGGCGGACAAGATTGATGGGGAATGGTCCGATCCGGTATACGTCAACAGCTCTGGTTTCGACCCGAGTCTGTTTCATGACCCGGATAGCGGCAAGAAGTACTTTGTGAATATGCTGTGGGATCACAGGCGGAGGCCGCTTCTGTTCGCAGGGATTGCGGTCCAAGAGTGGGATGCTAAGACGAAGAAACTCGTCGGAGAAAGGATGAACGTTTACCAGGGCACAGAGCTGGCACTGGCCGAGGCACCCCATGTGTATAAACGTAATGGATGGTATTACTTGCTGATTGCGGAGGGCGGGACTGGGTATGAGCACGCTTGTACGCTGGCGAGGAGCAAGGATATCTGGGGACCGTATGAGACGCATCCGGAGAAGCACGTGTTGACGAGTAAGGACCATCCGAGAGCCGCGCTGCAGAGGGCCGGACATGGCGACATCGTGGAGACGCAGGATGGGAGAACGTATTTGGTTCATTTGACGGGACGGCCGACGACGCAGCTCAGGAGGTGTGTGTTGGGACGTGAGACGGCAATCCAGGAGTGTTATTGGAAGGACGATTGGCTGTATGTCAAGAATGGACCGGTGCCAAGTCTCTGGGTGGACTTGCTGGGGGAGAGGGATGAGAGCAAGTACTGGGAGGAGAAGAGGTATACCTTCAAGGATGGGTTGCACAAGGATTTCCAGTGGCTGAGAACGCCGGAAACGGAGCGCATCTTCAACGTCAAGGACGGCAAGTTGACGCTGATCGGTCGGGAAGCCATTGGCAGTTGGTTCGAGCAGGCATTGGTGGCCAGGAGACAGGAGCACTTCAGCTACGATGCCGAGACCGTCATTGACTTTTCCCCGACCGACGAGAGGCAGTTTGCTGGTTTGACTGCGTACTACTGCCGGTACAACTTCTTCTACTTGACCGTCACAGCTCACTCGGATGGCCAGCGAGAATTGCTCATCATGTCGTCTGAAGCGTCATGGCCGATTGGAAACCTCAACACCCCATACGTTCCATACGTCCAGATCCCGAACGAGGGTAAGGTGAAGCTTGCTTTGACGATCCGGGGCAATCAGTTGCAGTTTTATTATGCGGTATTGGGTAGCGGTGGCGAAGAGCTGAAGAAGATTGGACCCGTGTTTGATGCCAGCATTGTTTCGGATGAGTGTGGTGGACATCAGCAGCATGGCAGCTTTACGGGTGCCTTTGTCGGGGTGGCTGCCTCTGACCTGAACGGGCTGGCGGCGGAGGCCAAGTTTGACTATTTGCTGTACAAGCCCGTGAAGAACCAGCAGGATGCCTATGTTAGAGACAATGAATAAGTCCAAAGGATGGAGGGAGAAAATAGGGGTGCAAAGAGCTAGAGTTGAATGATGTCGATGTCCAGGATAATGGTTGTTCGAGTAGAGAGCTGCCTCCTGCTAAATCCGCGAAGTTGACTTGGCCGTTTCGCTCTGTTGTGCCGAAGCTAAGGTCCTGGCATCCTCCTTTTAGATCCGAGAGAGTTATTGACTGTCGATGGCGTCATCCACTACTTCCTTTCCTAGCGGCCAAGTGTCGAAAGCCGGCACGAGAGGCTTAAGCCAGACTTTGGCTTGCAAACGAAAGCCGGGTTGGAACTCGCTGTCCACCAGGAGCGTGACCGCCCTGTCCTCCACGCCTTCGGATGCTACACCGGACGTGCCCTACCACGCCGGCTCAACAAATCCCAGCGTAATCAACGCCTGCCCTCCATAGTACAGTACCCAAACGGCTCTCTGCATCCAGTCCCTATACCCTTCTGTCTCAGGCACCAAGAACTTGTCCGCCGCAAGGATCGAGTCCGACGCCGTGAACATTGCGGCCCCCACAATCACCCTTCCATTCTCCAATGTGAGCGCTGTCAGGTCCACCACACAAATGGTAAGCGAGTACACCAACACCGGTACTCTCAGCGCATTGCCAACCTTGGGCATCAACGTGGCGATCATGACAGGGACCAGAACCACCAATCCACCAGCCATTGCGGTGCGCCATCCCCCCTCTGATAGACCTTGAAAACCAGCAGCATGTTGCTGCTGCAGAAACAACAAGATGTAAAGGACACGAGCCACCAAGAAGCTGGACAGACCACAAAGGAAGGCTAGGTCGCCATCCCAAGCAAGGAAGGCATCGCCGAGGGCGCTGAGGGCTAGAGCGCCAGTAAGGAATTGGGGGCCGCCGAGAAGGTGAGAGAGGTAGAAGAGCAAGGCGGTGGAAGAGGTCTTGACGAGCGTGCGCGAGTACGAGGGGCTGGATCGGACTTGAAAGAGGTAGAGGACGGCGGAGGCGAAGGAGACGGCTAGGACGGTTTTGTCCAGAGATGCGTCTGTATCGGACGACATGGTGGTAACGGCGTTGTCTGGAAGCAGGCTTACCTATGAGGGGTAGGAGTTGGATTGGATTCGTGTGTGGACTTGAAGTGTTCGATCTGATAACCGCGATTGGTGACTGTTTACTTTGGCATCGTCGTCTTCATCGTGGACATTGCGGGGTATGTTTTGTTCCTTTTTCTTTCTTCTTTCTCGTCCGAGGTTGACGATTCGTCCCACGTGAAAATTCCAAACATTGGGCTGGACATGGTCTTCGGCATGGAGTCCCTGGTCTCGGCTACACAAGTCAGCAAAGTGGATGAACTTGGAGTGGGGAGGTTGGGGAATTGGGGAATACGTGGGATAGTACGTGGGATACGTGGGGAGACGTGGGAGGGAGCATTGGGGGTCGTGGGGAGAGCGACCATGTGCAACCACCCCCACTGAGCAACCACACTGGACGTTGTGATGATGGTGACCATGGTGTTGTGATTATTCCACCCTCCATACCTCTATCCTTCCTTGTTGTTTCCCCCGCGGACCGGTACTAGCCACCTTCCCCGCAATCCATCTCGTTTTCTATCGGGCCTTTCCATGTCGCGTTGATTGATCGATTTCGTTGCGGGATGGGAACTTGTTTAGACTGCGGGGTACCCCATCATCCCCAGACTCGTTGTTCACGGTGGGCTGGATTCGCGTGGTTGGTTGGGATCAAGGGAAGTCGGCTAAAGGGGAATCAAGGATGGCCTAGCTGCGGAGAACACCTTTCAAGGACAAGACGGGAGGGAGTACGTGATAGAAATAAAGCCAACATAAGGTACATTGTCAATGTGGTCAATGATGGGTCCGTTCGTGATGTCGCCATTCGCCAAACAGTAATTGTGTTGGAGGAAGGACCTAAGAAGGCAGCTTGAAGGGAAGCGGAATTGGAAAAGACGCCGCTTTGCCTGCCCCATTTGGTTGCCCGCATTATGCCGTGTCGGCAGCGGCAATCAACGGCAGTACTGTAAGGTATTGTACAGGTGATGGCAGTGCTGTAAATGCAGCGCAATGATGCCCGTACCCCCATCTTGCCCGCTTCCAATAAAATGTTCAACACACTCGCCCGTCATGTTCCCGTCCCGCCGTGACATCTATGATGGCACAACCCCGATCGCCATGTTCGTCCGACGATGCCTCCTATCATCTAGCACTAGAGCTAGCTGCCGTTGATCCCAGGCCAAGAGAGACCGCCATATCCTGCCCGTCGCCTTGATTGGGTTTCCCTCGTGGAGCATCCCCATTCTTCCCCATCTTCCGCGATCCATGATCCATGGTCGGCGACCGGCGCTGATCCCCAGTTTCCCCAGTCTCCCCAGACCTTTAGCACCAGAACGGAATACGGCCCAGCATTAGCGTACATCATGGTGGACTTTCCCCGTGCCTCGATGGGAACATAAAGAGGAGCCGGTCCAGCCCTTCGTGTTCCCACCTGGGTTCACTCCGTCCTTCATCCCCAGACAGGAAGGTAGCCGGCCATCTACCACCTAGTTGACCACACCCTACCCGATTCGCTTCGACCTTAGGTTGCCAGTCCAGTCAATTGTGCAACCATGGCAGACGGCGGAGTCGGAGTCCTCGCCCACAAGGCTTCGGGCGACCTTGAAGACATAGAAGACGGGCCCCAGGTGACCGAGACCGAGAACCAGCGCGTCACTCTAACAGAGGAAGATGTGAGGCTTTCTTGCATCCATCCGACCACTCCTCAAACCCAAAGAAAACCCCTGCTAACATGCCCTGCCATTCATCCAGAACCGCCGCATCCTCCGCAAAACAGACCTGACCATTCTCCCCATCCTCGCTTGGGTCTACTTCCTCCAAATCCTCGACAAGACCGTGCTCGGCTACGGCGCCATCTTCGGCCTGCGCGAAGACGCCCACCTCCAAGGCAACCAGTACAGTCTGATTGGGTCCATTGCCCCCATCGCCCAGCTAGCATGGCAGCCTTTTTCCTCGATTCTGATCATCAAGGTCCCGCATCGCATCCTGATGTCCGTTCTCGTTCTCGGCTGGGGCATCGCCCAATGTCTGACGCCCCTGTGCAAGACCTTTTCTGCCCTGCTGGCTGTTCGCTTCTTCTTGGGCCTGTTCGAGGCCGGTTGTTTGCCGCTGTTCTCCGTCATCACGGCGCATTGGTACCGGAGGAGCGAGCAGCCCGTCAGAGTGGCGGGGTGGTACGGCACCAATGGTCTGGCAACCATCTTTGCGGCGGCGCTGTCGTTTGGTTTGGCCAAGATCCATAGCCACGTGTTGGCGTCGTGGCAGATTATCTTTTTGTTCACGGGGCTGATGACGGTTGTTACGGTGCCCTTCATTTACTGGAAGCTGGATAACAACGTCCATTCGGCAAGGTTTTTGACTGCGGAGGAGAAGCTAAAGGCCATTGAGCGGTTGAGGGCCAACAACAACGGCACCAGCGATGGCGAGGCGCACAAGTTCAAGTGGGCCCAGGTTGGAGAGGTTTTCTTGGATATCAAAACATACCTCTTCATTGCCATGTCTTTGGCAAATAACCTCGGCGCACAGGTGGTCAACACCTTTGGTCCGTTGATTCTGAGCGGCCTAGGATTCGACAACCACAAGACCACGCTGCTCAACATCCCCTTCGGCGCCGTCCAGTACGTTGTCATTCTCGGCGTCGCCTGGACGAGTGTGAAGTTGCGGTCGGGCAAGGGTTTTGCCCTCTTGATTATTCTCCTCCCCATCCTGGCGGGCATCTCTATGCTCTATGTCCTTCCCCGTGACAAGTCGCACATTGCGCCCCTGCTGGTGGGCTACTACTTCCTCGCCTTCATCTTTGGCTGCAACACGCTGGTGGTCTCGTGGATTCTCGCGAACACTGCGGGATCGACCAAGAGCAGTATCATGATGTCGCTGTTCAACGCTGCTTCTTCGGCGGGCAACATCATTGGCCCCTTGTTGTTCGACACGGCCGATGCCCCTGCTTACACGCCCGGGCTAAAGGCCACGCTGGGAGTGTACAGCATGATGGCGGCGGTTGTGCTGCTGCAGCTGGGCAACTTGGTATTGCTGAACAAGATGCAGGAGAAGAAGCGCGTGGCGAATGGCAAGCCGGCCAAGCTGCATGATGCTTCGATGGATAAGAAGTTCAATGCGGCGGGTGCCGCCCAAGCCCAAGAAGGCGACATTGGAAGTCGGGCGTTCTTGGACCTGACGGATCGTCAGAACGACGAGTTCATTTATGTATATTAGTCTTTTTTTGGCCTGCTTTCTCCCATTGTGCTTGCAACTGTATTAGTGGTAGCCGAACCGGCATTTAATCAGAGCTCATCCACTTCAAACTTGACCAGCAGTGTACATGCCGTCTCCCTCCCCCTTAGATCCAACATCCGCACGAACCTCCACTGCCCCTTGACGCCCTCCACATACAACAGCCTAACGCTGGCCACACACAGCACCGGGTTGCTGGAGAAGGAATCATCGCTCTTGATGAACATCCTCAAGAAAACCAACTCATCGTCTTCATACTCGTCCCACTCCAGCGTCTCATCCCACACTGGATCCGTCACCAGACTGTTCTCCTCCTCTTTACTTGCTGCCCCCGTCAATCCCCCAATCAGCAGCGCACTAAGCTTATGCTTCCTGAACACATCCGTCTTCTTTTTGGTCTGCTGCATCTCCCCAAACGGCACGCCCGGATGTAGCAGCGTGCAAGTCAGGTACGGTTTAAGTTCCTTATCCGTATCTCTGCCGCTAGGGATGGGAACATCCGACGCGCCCGCCACCACCAACCTCAATCGTTTCCTACGTCTCGTCCTCGCCACTTGCTCCCGAAACTCTTTTTCCGCTAGTCCCACCATTGCCGCGTTAGACCGCAACCAAGAAGGTTTAAGCACGTACCCCCCTGTTCCAGCGAACATGGCTTCGTTGATTTGCATGCTTGCGTCGAAGGTCTGCCAGTTTAAAGCACATACTTGTGCGCCTAAACCCCAGAAGGGCAAAGGTTTGAGGTTCTTGGAAGAGATGCGCGTGCCCTTGGGGAATACCCGCATCAAGTGGCGGGCGTTGTGCTTGGCTATGCTGGCGCCGTTGCCAGAAGACAAAAGGGCGTTGAGGCCGGATTCAGATACGTTGATGAGGTGGTGGTGCGGGCCGTCTTTGGAGGGTAGGAGGTCGGAAGAGGTGAACCAGCTGTTGTCGGGCGGTTTGACGGATTGGCCGTAGACGCCCAACTCGGCGAGGGAGGGGATGATGAGTTTGGCTTCGGGAGTATCTTTTTTGGCTTGTTTTCTTTGTTTCCTTTCTTTTTGCTCGACTTCGTCTTCCGAGCTAGAATCGGAGGAGGAATCAGACGAGGCTTCGTTGATCAGATGATGCTCCACGATGACCACAATCTTGGACCCCAAGTCGCGGAGACGAACATGTTGGTCTTGCTCAATGTGCGACTCGGTTTCTACCGGCTTATCCAACAAGTGCCTCCCCCATACCTCCTTCATGATTCGCACCAGCGCCTCCTGCCCTTGAGCGCCGCAGTGGTTTTCGAGCGAAATCAACACGGGCGCACCGCCGCCGCCGCCGGATTCTTCCTCTTCCTCTACGACTTGCAGGATGATCTTGCATACTTCGCGGAAGGGAATGTTGGAGACCAAGGTGTAGCCGTGCGTGACTTTGGGTTCGTCCAGGTTGTCGGGGTTGTCCCAGACGTCAATCTCTACGCATCTTGAGCCGGCTTGGAGGGTGTGTCGGTAGGGGTCGGTGGAGGATTCGCCAAAGAGTTGGTGCGCGCACAGGTAGGTGTTGTGACTGCTTGAAACGAAGTACTCGGGTAGGGGGTAGTCCCTGTTGATTACCTCGCGTGGGACGGCAATATGGGGCTTGGCAAGCAAGTCGGCGACGGTTTCGCCCGGACTCAAAAGATGGTTCCTGGCAATGAAGGACTGCAAAGCGGGGGAGACGCGGAGCTGCGGGCCGTGCTTGCATGTGGAATGGCCGCCGCCGGCGTGGGCGTCAAACGGGATGATGTCGCCTGCTTCTTCATCGTCGATTGGTTGCGTGCGTCGACGGGAGCCGAGAGTGAGCCTGCTGCGGACCGAAGAGGTGAGGTCGGTGACGGTCCCGGTGACTTGAGGAGGGAGGTTCTCTTTGGCGAATTCGCCGAGGCCGGCTAGGGTGTGTTTGAGTTGGTTCATGTTAGGTATGTACCGTCTGCCCTCCTACTAACGAGTGAGAAAAGGGAAACGATGGAAGAGAGACTTGGACTGAAGGGAAAAGAGAGCCTTTATGACCCCACGTGTTTGGTTCAATGTCGATGGGATGGATGGATGACCCACGGGGATCAATGTCTAGTTGCACCTCAGTGGGTGTTGGACCCGCCTAAGATGGGCTGAAACGCGGGACCAGCAGCACTAGGTGGTGGGGTCAACGGGCTCGCGGCCGCTCGGCGCTAAGAGCCAAGCAGCCGGAACTGGGGAGCATCATGCCGGCGAGTCCGTGATCATCGTATTCAGCTTGATCCTTCAGAGAGCATGTGATGTCTGTGGGATCTGGTTATGGGGGGCCTGACTGTGCCGTTTTACCCAGGCAGCCACCGTCCAATATTGGCAACGAAGGTGAGGTTGGATGGGATCACGGTCTGGGCGCCCAGAACATCACGTCTCGGCACGGCAAGTGGGTGTGTTGACAGGAACGTCGAAATGGCACATGACGATTGCAGGTTGATGTCAAGATAATACCGATACTGTAGAGGTAAAATTGTCGTTCCGTTTTGTCTATCCTTTTCATCGTGTAACAGTTTCATCCAACGATCTTCCAGATGACATTCATCCATTGTCCAATCAAATCATCCAAACGCTTCAACCCTTTCGTTCGCAACAAGCCGTTGCCAACCATGAGTGGTCAAAGACATCACCAACATCAACACACATTCCCACCACCACCACCCCCCCTTTCCATGCTACACCCACAGATAGGATCCGGACCACCTAAGCCCAAGCCCCCACCAGACTCATGCCCACCGCCCCCGCAAACACCAACACACACGCCGCCGCTCTCCTCTTCCCTCTCAACGTCCTCCAACTCTCATCACTCAAAAAGTCCTCACTCAAAAGCTCCACCAGACTAGCAAAGACCAACAGTCCCGAACTAATAGCATTCATCGTCCCTACCAGAATCAGGCCCACCTCACTTTCAGGAGAATACAACCGATGCGTAGCCAACCCAATTGCCTGTCCGATAGGGGTAGTGCACCCGTACGCCAAAGCCATGAACCACGGCTGCTTCGACCCCTCCGGCCACGTAATGCTCGCGATGCGTGATCCCAAAGCAAGACCTTCGAAAGTTTGATGGAAAGCAATGGCAATAAGCAAAACGACAAAATCCGTCCCTACGGAAACGGATAGGGCCATGCCGATAAAGACAGAATGGAAAAGAATGCCGCACTCGAGCAGGACGCATTGCATGGTTTCCTTGCGGCGCTTCATCTCGGCGGTCAGGTACATGTATCCATCATGAGGCAGCTGAGATTCGACTTGTTGCGTGCTGGGGCTGGAGAGGGTCAGGTCGGATTGGAAGATTTCCTTGTTGAATTGGGGGGTAGTGGTGGTGGTGGTGGTGGTGTCGAGGTAGTAGTCTTCGGAGGGCAGGGCAGGGAGGACGGCGTCCCGGTCTTGTGGGTCTTGACCCTGGCGGGAGACGTGGGAGAGCCGGCGGCCGATGGAGTGCGCGCGTCCGCGGAGGGCGCCCTTGGGTCGGGAGGGGAGGTTGTTGGTGGTGTCGTCAGGGGCGCGAGCGTTGCTGGGGAGACGAGAGAGCGGGTCGATTGATTCGTCGTTCGTATTGGACTGAGCGGGTGCACCCGAAACCTGTTCCTGTTCGTGAGGTCCGTGATGCACATGTCTTCCGGGGTGAAACACCATCTCGACAATCGTCACCATGAAAATAGCAGCCAGCGCAATTGCTCCCGGCATGGCGGGGTACTGCTGCGTCCAAAAGCTGTCGAGACATTGGTTGCTGAGCGAGATGAAAGCGGTCGGCAAAAGATGGACGAAAGCCGTGGCAATCAAGACTCCGGTACCAAAGTGGCGGACGGCAAAGAAGAACACAGGTGGGAGACGAATCATGGGAAAGCGGGTCATGAGGACAGGAAAAGCGCAGGCGAGGAAGGAGACGCCGAAGATGATGGCAAGGGCGGCACCGTGAAAAGCCGTGTTATAAAGCTCCTCGTCAGACACGCCGCCCTTGGGACAAGTTGATGCTCTCTTGAAGACCCGGGGCGTGACGGGTTCGGCGACGGCGGAGACATGGAGAGCTGCATCAACTTGAATTTGTCTATCGTTACCATGTTGTTGTCTTGTCATGATGGTGGACATGATCAACGAGGTAACGACGACGGAGAGAACCCAGGTGACCCACCCCGGGACCGCCAAAGCGGCGCTACGGAGGAGTGGAGCCACGGAGGTCCGAGTTCGGCAGGCACGGTCTTCACCACCGGCTGCCGGGGATTTCTGCGGGGCGGGGTCTGTGTTTCCGTCGGTGTTAGTCATTCAAGTTACACTCGGAAAGGGTTAGGGACATTGACATACCAATAGACCGCCGCCCCGCAGAATTATTGTTCTTCTCCGGAGGAACTTGTGGTCTCCGGTCCGCATCATGCAGTCTTATGCCGCCGCCTGGATGATGATTCAGTGCGCAGACGCCGACCTCGCTGCCCTGGGATCCATACCTGTGCGTCCGCGAATTGGCAATGCCATTGAGGTCCTGGCAGGTGGTCAAGTCCGCAGCCAGGTAATGGGGTTGCTGGTTCCAAAAGGGATGTTCGAGCTCGGCATCGTCATTGCGAGAAGGGCAGTTCATTTTGGGCAATTGGTAGAGTTCAGTCTGTTTAATTTCGGTGTCGGGTTCGTCAAAGTGATGCGGATCGGTTGCGAAGGAAGGTTCGCGATGACTGATGACTGTAACCCCTGAGTCTTGGCTTTGTTGACTTTTCTGTTCGTGGCGAATCGAACTGGATTCCACTCGATACAGTAACGCGATGGGTCGGACAGAGCTTTGTTCACGGCAGTGAGAGGAACATGAAGAGATCGCAAACAGTATTATTTATTGACTGTCTAAATGCTGCGAGACTGATGAGTCGACTGGAACAAACAGTAAACATATCCAGTTGTATTACAACAAAAAGTGGAAGCGGTCTGATTATGAAGAAGACGACAACGGAAATATCTGACATGTCATCTTGGACTCTTGGAGACCAAGTCCAGGCCTTTTTAACAGTGAACCCTAACCCCGTGACAGTCAACGACAGGCTCGGTCCATTCCGTGATGCCCCGATGGCTCCACACCTGACAGAAATCCGTTGAAATGAGTGGTCCGTTCAGAGATCCTCCAGTCTTCCCCAGATCTTGGCGTGGGTTGTAAAACGAACAACAACTGAAACATTGGGAGATTCCTGAGCGAAGACATCGACTGGTCGTTGACATGAATTCGGTTTTGAAGTTTGAATGGTTTGATGACTCCGGCAGTTATGCATGGCTGTTCACCTGACTTGAGGAGATTGTTGAAGCCCTTGGTGGTCCAAATAGTTGATGATCTATCCACGCGAAATGTCCACTGAAAGGATCAAAGATACCTAGGTAATGGGCACGTTTGGGTACGAACCAAGGAGTGCACGTTCCGAAAAAGATTGACAATTGTTCCGAAAGCTGGCGAACAATCCAGTTTGTTTGGTATCCGCTCCGGCCGATCACGGAGACGGGAGCATTCAACAACCAAATCAAAAAACGGAAACTTTTGCTTGGTACTTGGCATAGAGGTAGGCATGGGTTGACAGTAGGGTTATTGTAAACCCGAAGTGGAAGCCAAATCACAGAGTAGGATATTAGAGATAGAGGTAGCCACACACGAAAAACAAGACCTGGTGAGGAACAAGTCAGGGTGAAAACATGATTATATTGAAAGGCAATGAAAGGCGTCAAATTGAAAGAGCGGGAAGAAGACGATGCTTTTGATGGTGCATTCATTGGAAAGAACCCTCTTGAGTGCCTAGGTAGTCACGTGAGAAGCAGCAGAATTGACCAATTGTACTTACATGTGTACAGAAAAAGATTGCCCAGCTGCGTCCCCTCGTCCCCAACCACACGGGATATTCTTTCGTCCAACGCCATGGCATCAGATAGTTCCCTAATCCGCCATCTTTTTTTCTTGCATGTCAGTCAAACCCAAAATGGGCCACGCGTCGATGGTGCTCACCATGTCAACAATCAACACCAACACTTATGTCCAAGATAATAATATGGACCTTACTGAGGTCGGAAGGAGGATACACAAACCAATAGTGGGCGATAGGTGCCCCTGGCCGGCGGGGCTCGCCTACCACATTCCAGGAAGGTGATAAAAGATTGTCGAGACATCCGCGCCGCCACGAGCCATGCCTTGCCGATAACCGGACCCGGTGAGCCAATCCAGCGCTGCTTGGAGGGTCGCGTTGGTGATCCCGGCCCCAGGGATTCTCTCGCTGCCGTGCAACGGGGCACAGGCTGCACAAGGCCCGCTGATATCCAATAGGTTCGCCCACCTGCCCCTTCACTACCACGCTGTCGCAGCGCAGATAAGCTAACGCATGTGCCCAGGCCTTGGCCACCGATCGACATGAGATTGCTGTGCTGGTGCTGCAAGGAACGAGACACAAAAAGTTCCTTGATATAAAAACCGAGTGTCGACGTCGGTCGAACGCGGTCCCGAGTCTGTCTGTGTCTGGTTCCTCTTCCTCACCTCGACCTTCTCCCTAACCGAGTCACTTCACGATGGCGTCTCTCGGCAAGCTCCTCTCGGCGGCGGGCCTGCTGCTCTTGGGCGGCCATGGCATGTTGGCTTCGGCCGAGGACCACCTGATCAGCGAGCGCAAGCTCTCCAAGCGCTTCATCGACGACAATGGCAACTACAACATCTCCTTCTACCACATCAACGATGTCCACGCCCATCTCGATCAGTTCTCTTCCTCTGGCACCGACTGCACCAACCCGGCCAAGGGCTGCTATGGCGGTTACTCCCGCGTCAAGACCATCATCGACGAGACCCGTCCTTCGCACAAGGACTCGCTCGTTCTCAACTGCGGTGATGAGTTCCAGGGCACCATGTTCTTCTCCTACTACGGCGGCGAGAAGATTGCCGAGACCCTCAACCAGATCGGCTTTGACGGCATGACGCTGGGCAACCACGAGTGGGACAAGGGTGACGAAGTGCTCGGCCAGTTCCTCGAGAACCTCACCTTCCCCATCATCTCGGCCAACGTCTTCTCCGATAACGCGCGCCTCAACCGCACCATCAAGCCCTACCACATCTATGAGGAGTATGACCTCGCCATCATCGGCGTCACCACCGAGACCGTGCCCTCCATCTCCTCGCCCGGCCCGGGCACCAAGTTCACCGACGCCATCCAGGCCGTCCAGGACACCATCGATCACATCCGTTCCACCACCTCCATCAAGCGCATTGCCGCCATCACGCACATTGGGTACGACGAGGACCAGCGACTCGCCAAGGAAACCACGGGTCTTTACCTCATTATGGGCGGCCACAGTCACACCCCTCTCGGCGACTTCCCCGGTGCCGTAGGTCCTTACCCGACCATTGTCAAGAACAAGGACGGCGACGAGGTATTCATTGTTACCGCCTACCGCTGGGGCGAGTACCTCGGCTACATCGACGTCACCTACGACGCCGACGGCAAGATCCTCGAGTACCACGGCGGTCCGATCCACCTGACCAACACCACCAAGCAAGACGAGGATCTCCAGAAGCAAATTGACGCGTGGCGCGTGCCCTTCGAGGAGTACTCCAAGCAGGTGGTCGGCACCAGCAATGTCGTTCTCGAGCAGTCCACCTGCCAGTCCAAGGAGTGCACCTTTGGCGACTTCATTTGCGACGCCATGCTTGACTACCGCCTGAACGCCTCCACCGATGGTCTCGCCCCCTCGTTCGCCCTCACCAACTCCGGTGGCATTCGTGCCTCGATTGACGTCGGACCCATTACCCGCGGCGAGGTCCTCACGGCTTTCCCCTTCGGCAACGCCGTCGTCGAAATAACCCTCTCCGGCCAGCAACTGTGGGACGTCCTCGCCGGCATTGTTGCCCGTGTCAACAAGGCCAACGGCAAGGCCGTCACATCTTTCCTCCAGGTCTCCCGCGGCATCAAGATTGAGTACCAACCTACTAACTCTCCCGATAATGGCGTCGGCACCCTCGCGGCCGTTACTATTGGCGGCGAGAAGCTGGACTTGACGAAGCAGTACAAGGTGGTCACCATTGACTTCGTCGCTGGTGGAGGAGACAACTTCTTTGCTGAAGCAATCAGCAACTTGGTAGTGTTGGATACCTTGGATGAGGTTCTGGTGAACTACATCAAAGAGAAGACGCCGGTGGATGTGCAGTTGGAGGGCCGTATTGCTCCCTACAGCAAGTGTGGTGGACGCAAGAAGTCTCAGAAGGCGAGAAGGGAGAGGGAGTAAGGGGGTGTACTACCTACCAATGAACTTGTATCGTAATGATTAGAGGATTACCTCTAGATGATGTAATGTGTTGATGTCTTGAGTAATGATGAGCTTGTTCCACTGCAAAGAAAAGAAAGTGACGGTGTGTGTGTGATACCTCCGGCATCCCTCCACTCTAGGAGAGACCTCGCTTCACAAGCTAGAAATGCCATTTTCCTTCATTCATGGCAAGAGATCATAGTTGGGACGCACAATAAGCTCTACCCAATCCGGTTTTTGCGGCTGGAAATATGAAGAATTATTTTGCAGAAAGATACCTAGAGGTACCTCAGTCCGAGAAGAGACCGGCCGGAGCTATACGCTAGAGAAGACAAGAGACATAGAAAACTGCCCCGGAAAAGCCTCTTGTGTGCAGCGGTTCGTGAAGCCAGGGCAGGCTTTTCATCTCGTGGTGGGTGAAAAAAAAAACCCCACGTCCTCAAGCGTCGCATGTAGGTGTCGTTTTCTTTCTTTTTAGCATTTGGATGACACTCTTTCATGTCGAGCTGGGGTTTTGACCCTTTTGAATTTTTCTATTTTGGCTCCCACCCAGGCTCCAGGGGCGCAATTTCCTCAGGTTCATCCAACGATGGCAATATATATGGAAGTCTTCCTTCAAATTCCCCATCCTCCACCAGCCCCTTCCTTCCACCAGACCAAAAACTCGACAAAATGCCCACTCACAATGATACCTGGAGAATGACCAGAAGAATATCTGGGAGAAGAACTAAAAATGGAGGGAGAAAAAGAATTTAAAAAAAAAAAAAAAAAAAAAAAAAGAGAGAAGGTGGAAAGGTCTCGATCGCGAATCGAACAGGGGACGTAGAGCAACTGGAAGGGAGTAGTAGAGCCCTATTTACATCGGTGTCTAATTGAGGCGACCCCCCTTGTGGGGCTCATTTACAGCCAACCTACGTCCGACTCGCAGGTGCAAATATCGAAGGTATACCCCACAATATGCAAAATATAGTTAAATATATATAAGCTTTATATCTAATAGTATATATTTAACGTATATATTATATATAAATTCGATATTTCAATACTACTTATATAATACTTTTATAAATCTTATTAATTATAAAAGAAATTGTAAGGACATTAATATTTTTTTTTCAAAATAAATATTAAATAGAAAATAAAAAGCAAATATATTAAACGAACTATTAAAAAGAGGGTTTAAAAAATAAAAACTACTAATTAATTTTTACTTTTTCTCTCCCTTAATAATACTATTAATAACTACTAATAATTACTATAATATCGAATAATTATACTTTAAAAGTAAATTAATTAGTTTTTGTAGGGTTTCTATAACCTTTTTTTTCTATAGGGTTTCCGCGTAGTTTCTACGTAGTTGACTTTTTTCTACGTAGTTTCTACGTAATTGACTTTTTTTCCGCGTAGTTTTTATAAAGTTAATTATTTTCTTATTTTT